CCAAAAAATTCTTAGAGTTAAAAAAGCCGGTTAACTATTACATCTTTTGCTTTAATTTACGGTGAACGAATATTATCTTCGATTACATGTTATCATGCAAATACACATGTTTTGAGCAACGTTTTATGAAATCAAGCCGTGATGTAAGTTAACATGGTTTCATGCACTCAGTGGGGAGCGAACCACGGTCCAACCGCGCCTCGTGTGCGATTGATTCCCAAGTACAGCATACTTCTATTAGTCTGTGAGTGTTTGCCGGCACCGTTGATGAAACGTAGCTCCCATCCACGTGCCTCCCGGTCTTATTCCTTCGAGTTTACACTGGATATGGGATGTGTGGTTGAAGCTGTGGGTGGTGCAGCGCATGCTACCCATGGTCCTGTGGCTGGCCACAGTGACAGGCAAATCCGAAACCGAATACCGATAACCATATAGTTAATACATATGCATATACAAATACATGGTTGGTGGCATCCGGTTTCAGATTTGCCTGTTATTGTGGCCGGCCACAGGACGCCTGCGCCTGCAGAGGGACCATGGGTGGCTTACACTGCACCACCCACAGCTCCATCCACCTACCCCATACCCAATGTAAACCCCAATGAATAAGACCGGGAGGCATGTGGATGGGAGCCACGTTTCATCAATGGAGCCGGCCCACACTCCTTCACAGGCAAACACAAGCACGCTGTATTGGGGGAACCAACTGCACACAAGACGGTGGCTGGACCATAGTCCGCTCCACACTGACTGCATGGAACCACTCTTTGATCCTAACACGACCACAAGGACCGTGCACCCCGTCCCCTCCAGCAACGACCAACTGTCTCCTAGAGCCAGTATGGACGAGGTAGTGGGTAATAGACAGGTAGGCACATTGTCAACATGCAAATCAAGCGCAGCCACACCGGGGATATCAAGCAACAGCCAATCACTTGAGAGAAAGCTAACAAGGAAAATAAATCGAGTAATGCATAAGGAAACGGTGACATAAATCTTAAATTAATGAGCATATAAAATAAGTTGTTTACAAACGAATCCGAGATAAGTTCACGAGGTCAGAAAGTATATTTTATGGAAATGCCACAAACACGAAAATGTTATCGAAATTAACTACAATTGGCTTAAGCGACGTGTGCAAGTTTATAGAAGAGAGTATAGGTAGGCATTTATATGAGAAAGAAAGGCATTAGGACAAAATTGAAAACCCACCACCTGAAATAAATAGACTTAGCATGCAAGCACGTGGTTAGTAAATCGAATGCAGCGTACCTACAAACGCTGCGCCGGTTCTGCCTACGTTCTCTGCAGGACCCGTCGTCGCTTCGGTAGTGGTCCCGAGTGGCCTCGCTCATGGCTCACTAGGCCTGCCTTACTCAGGCACTCGCGACCGCATGTGCTACAGCACCATGCGCTCGATGTCGATGGAGTACAACCCATCGGTGCTTGCCGCTTCCGCACTTGCCGCTTCTTCTCTGCATGCATGAGGTCTTTCTCCCGCACTTCGGCAACTGCCTTCGTGATCAGATCGCGTCATGCACGCCGATCAACCGCCCTCGATTCCCATGACCTGCAATCAAGATTAGAACGTGAGAGGCTCACTTTGATCATGTCCTGGTAACATAAATTTGGTTTCCCCACATGCCGCTTCCCAATACTCAGCTGACCATAGAAGAGTTGTTTCGGTATCCGCGTCGAATCCATACGGCTCACATGACCGAGCCACCTCAGGTGTCTCAGCAAAAGTATGCAGTCCACTGCATACATTCCACTTCGGCGCAACACTTCCGTGTCTGCAACTCTGTCGCCCCAACCGATGCGCAGAATCCGTCGCAAACACTGCTGATGGAACCGCTCGAGATATCGCACATCCCGACGGTACATCGTCCACGTTTCACTGCCGTATAGAAGAACGGACAGCACCATGGATTTGCACACCATCAGCTTCGTGCCAATGGTAAGCTGATGGTTGTTCCACACTCGGTACTCTAGCTTCCCGAATACCGCCGCTGCCTTCGACACGCGGATACGCAGCTCACTGTGTAGCTGCTGATCAGTCGACTTCACACTCCCAAGGTAGCAGAAGCGGGAGGTGGTTTCCAATACTTCAGCACCAATGCTGATTCGCGGCAATATTGAAGATTGCACCTCCGGTGAAGGCTGAAAGAGACAGACAGTTTTGCTTGTGTTGATGGTGAGCCCGAATTTGGCCGCTGTCGAAGCCAGAGCATTAGTCATGTGCTGCAACTCATCCGCGCTGTGTGCAAACAACGCACAGTCGTCAGCAAACAGCAACGTACGGATATTTGTCTCACAGACTAGAGTTCTCGCACCGAAACGACGGATGTTCAGCAACCCACCATCAATACGGTGCTCCACACGAACACCGTAAGCATAAGCGGCATCAAAAGCACAAGACATCATGGCATGAAGATAAATATTAAACAGGGCAGGAGCTAAGACACAGCCTTGCTTCACACCAGAGACAACTGCAAAGTCATCCGAGGTCTCTCCACTCAGCTGCACCCTCGCTCGCATACCACTGTGCAGACATTCAATTAAACTTACAAACTTACGCGGGCAACCAAACTTACCCAACACCAGCCACAATGCCTCGCGGTTCACCGTATCAAATGTCTTGGTGAAATCAACAAAAAGCGAGTACAATGGCTGGTGTCGTTCTCTGCACTTCTCCTGCAACTGACGAGCCGCAAACACCATATCCATAGTGCTGCGACCCGAACGGAATCCACACTGCTCTTCCGCCACGTTCGGTTCCACAACCTGACTGACGAGGCGGTTGAGCAGGATTCGGGCAATCACCTTGCCCACACAACTCAGCAAGTTGATGCCACGATAATTCGTGCAACATTGCTTGCTACCTTTGCCCTTGTACAGTGGTAGCACAAGGGCATCCTTCAGCTCAGGAGGCACATCCTCCTCAATCCATACACGTTGCACCAAGTGGTGCAGCGCAGTCAACAACGCGGGTCCGCCGTGTTTCAATACTTCAGGCGGGATTCCGTCGGCTCCGGCACATTTGCCGTTTCGCAGCTGAGCAAGTGCTCTCTGCGTCTCATCCAGTGTCGGCGTATCCGCCAGATCCGCCTTCACATCGTGCTGCTTCAGGCCGTTCAATGTAGGCCAGTCGATCTCTGAACGGTTGTTTAAGAGACAGTCAAAGTGTTTTCACCAGATCTGCATTATGTCTGCAGTCTGTGTGCAGGTAGCGCCTGAACTACCATCGATCAGCGTCCTCAGCGGCTCCAATCTCGGTCCATACACCGCCTTCAAGGAGTCGAAGAATTCCTTGTGTTGACGGCGTTCGGCGTAGCATTCCATCTGCTTCGCCTTCTCCGTCCACCATGCATTTTTTATGCGACGGAGCTCTCGGGTCAGTCGCCGTCGAAGTTTGCGAAACTGACTCTTCTTCCCCAAGTCACTGGGGTCTGCCACATGTGCAGCAAATGCTGCATTCTTCTCGACACCAATGCGCCAATCGTCGCATTGTTCTCATCAAACCAATCAGGCCACTTACAGTTTGTGCGCCCGATGGTCTCCTCGGCAGCAGATGTCACCTGGTCGCGAATGTGGTGCCACAGGTCGCCCACTGTGACTATGCAGTCCACATCACACAGGCGTGCAGCCATCGCCTTCTCCAGCTCAGTACGTTTCGCCACAATACCGAGGGAGAGAATGTTAAATTTACGCCGATTCACGGCGGGAGTGCAATACATAGATTTACGAAAATATATGTACATTTTGGTGCGCACCAATTTTGTGGTCAGTGCCACACTCAGCTCTACGCGGTACACGTGTCATGCGCACTTTACACATATCACGCTGACGTACGATGACATAGTCGAGCAGGTGAGCGTGACCACTCCGTGGGTGCGTCCAAGTTGCTATATCACTCGCAACGGAGTGTTCGTAATTGTCATTCCGTGAGTGGCACACAGTGAGAGCCGCCTGTCACCGTTCGCATTCGCTGAACCAATGCCATGCGGACCGATAACATCTGTCCACGCTGATGCATCACACCCAACGCGCGCGTTGAAATCAGCCAGCAGAAATAGCCGGTCGCTCCTCGGCACAGACCGTATCACGGAGGATAGCTGAGTGTAGAATTGATCACGCGTGTCATCAGGATAACACATGGTCGGACCGTAGTGCTTATAAAAGTGGCAAACTTACCTCTTTCGAGTCGTAGGCGAACAGTCATCAGTCGCGCGCTGATGCCCGTTGGTTCACCCACCAGCAGGCCATGGAGGCGATCGGATATTGCAAATCCGACCCCATGATCACGTGGTGCTGAGGCGGCGTCGCCCACTCAGTAGAATGTGTAGCCAGCACCTGCTTCATGCAAACTACCTCGCTCAGCGAGCCGAGTTTCACTGAGCGCCACAATATCGATGTTTTAGCTCGCCAGTTCCATCGCGACGAGTGCAGTGCGTCGCTCCGGGCGCTCGCTGGAGTTCCGGTCCAGTAGTGTGCGCACATTCCAACACCCGATGCTGAGTGCTTTGCACGCAGGCATACGATTGCATTGATAGGCAATCGCACGCGAGGTGGTCGTTTTGCTTCGGAGGTTTGCTTGAGGGCCTCCACCTGGAGCCTTTGACTCAATAGCCTTACCCACAAGGCAGTGGGTATATATATATATATATATATATATATATATATATATATATATATATATATATATATATATAATTCATATGACTTATTAATTTTGCTTGGCGACAGATTGATGATCCAATCCTCCCACTTATATTTGCACCCCGTAAAATCCAATTTTATTACCCTCTTGGGGGTAATTACCACCAGGATGAGAACTAGTGACCTATGTTAACAGGATAAAACCTATTGTTTAGAGGATCTTCCTTACTCATCCACGGTTGTGTTAAGTGGTGTCCAGACCATTTCTTAACTGCAACATCCTGTTTCCGTTTTTTTGCTTTCCAGCTAGAAACGTTATCGAAGTGAGCTCATATGATAGCATGTTGCGGGATTCACCCGTCGGGAGGGAATTAAAACAAATCCGAAACATTCGGCCCAGTTTCCACGCATCGCGTCTAGGAATAGCCGGTGCTATGTTGTACACTGGCGCAATATGGTACTTTTTCAGAGGTCGGGAACCTTGGACTTTTACACACGGAAGTAAGTATCTGCTTTGCATGCTGTTGCCGCAGCATTCTTCTTGGTATTTAGTGGCCCGCTTTTTCGTTGATACCTATGTACGCAGTACACGCAAGTTGTTTTACACTTTTCTTTAACCAAGAAGAGCTACAGTGGCATTTTTGTATAGCTATGATAAATCAAAAGCATGGTTTCTGACACCTAACTCTATGGTCTGTTCAACAGTCTTTTCATAGTCTTTGCGACAGGCTTTCTTCGTCGTTCACTGTCATTCGTCCTGTTCGACAACTTTGCCCTATGTCTCCGTTCCTCCTCAATTTTGCAACTGACAACATCCGGTCGATAGCTCTGGAATGCCTTCCAAAGTTTTAGCCTAGAGCTTTTGCCGTGTCTTCGACTATGCTGATAAGATGGACTTGTTTATGGGCGACTCGTAAAGCATGCATCTCATCCCAAACCATTTGACGACTTTTGTGTACGGCATGTTCACCTGCTCCAGGCTTGGTCCTTTGTGTTCCCGTGCTCACTCTTAGTCATAACGCTCGAAAGGCTTTGGTGGAATTCTTGTGAAGGCGAATTTGTCTTGCATCCCCAAAACCCGGTCGGCGTTGGTCAATCTGTGACACTTGTGGCGTCATCTGGACGTCTTCTTGTTACTGGTCCGAGTTCACAACGCCTGCCCATGGCCATAAGGATTACAAGCCTCCCTTGTAATCCCGACGTCGCCGGTTCGAGCTTGCCCAGGCGATCGGGCGACCTTCACAGTATTTTCAGACCCCGCGCAACTAGCAGTGGTTGCACGGAAGCGAAGCGTCGGTTCTGCTTGACGTCATAGTGCTGATACCTTTTTTTCTTATTTCATAACGCGTCGCTGCAGCGCAACCGCCACCAGTCGCACGTGTGCTACGGATACTGCGTGGGTCGCCCGTTCCCCTACAACGACTCGAACCCGCGCCCTCCGGATTACGAAGCAGGCGTGCGATCCTTAAGGCAACTTGCCAGATCGCCCATTGTTGTTTTCGTTGTCGTTGTGCGAAAACGAGGATCATTCCTCGTGCCTGACGTGCAGAATATGTTAATTAATAAATAAAAATTTGCTTGTGTAACAGGATTTTAGTTGTACTTTTTAAGCTATTCCACCCAGTATTTCACAAGCTACATAGCACAGCCTAGTCCAGAAAAGCACCAGAAGCGTTTCGCCCTATTGGGACTCATCATCGGTGCGCATTCCCTCGGTTCCCTATTGTGGATCGCACCCATGACCGCTATAGGCAGATGCCAATTAGCCAGCAGCTTAAGTCACTGAGCCATGGGGGACGTTGGCTGGGCTATATAATTTACAAGTTACTTGGGATCTAGCGCGACCTATCTTCCATTGTCACTGACAGTGTCTAGCCTGCGTGGTGATGTCGTCCTGTCGCTAGACGCTACATCCATAACATTTGAAACAAGGAGAGTCTGTTTATTTTATATTACTCTTAAATAGCAGGACTTTACTTGTAGGGGACCGAAGGAATGCGTACCACTGACTTGACTCAATAGGGCGAAACGTGTCTGGTGCTTTTCTGGACTAGGCTTCTGAACTACTGGGATGAATACATTAAGAATAAAAATTTTATTCTCGACAACGCGAGCCGCACTTTTACAGGCATGATCATATTAAGGTAACAAAGGTTGATCAAACGTACAAAAATACATCGTGTTTGCTGTAACAGTGAATATTTGTGTAGGAGCGTGTTTGTCTATGTATGTGCTTGTGTTTGTATGTGTGTCGCTGCACTCTTGACTATTTGTCAGTGTTAGAATAGATGATTGATGTCCGTGAGTTGAATAGGATTATCCAGATATTCACGGGGCAGTGACTAGTTTATGGCGAGTCATGACCGTTACCTCTCAGTGTTAATAAACAGAAATTTGTGGTTTTTTATAGGCAGAACGCTTGCCAGGCGAAACCCCACCACGTCCTGGAACACTGCTGCCGAACTATTCGCTCTAACGGGTAGATCCCGTTCCACCCAGCTGGCGCTACGAGGAGGTTGTTCGGCAATTACTGTAACATTCTCCGACACCAAGTGCTCGTTCGACTCAAGGTACCGCTTCATTTTCATTCGATATACCTGTTAAGAAGAATCTTGCTATAAAGATGCGAATATTTCGCGTGCCATAGACTGGAACACAGTTCGCAACGAGATACACGAACTATCAGACATCACTCTGGGAACATGTGACAGACTTTTGAGTTTGCCCCTTTCCTGCAGACCCTGCGTGGAGAGCTAACATATCAAGCCCCGCGATGCAGGTACTGAGGTGCAGCTCGAGTAGAAACTGCTTGAACAGGCTCATTTAAGAGAACAAACTCTACGGAGTGGTCCCATTCTTTAGTATGCACTTCGCATCCACGAAGGGAAAAGTGATGTTACGAGACCCTTGACTAGTTAGAACCTGGGTTGGTTGATGAATTCATCCATCTTGGTAACTGCGTTAGCAATAACTGGTGTGTGGCTGCTAAAAGTAGTTGGCATATTGTGAGATATACAACTGCTTTCATGAACTTGAGATGCCAAAAGCATCACAAGGAAGCTTCCATTGGTCCTATGACCGACCTATACGAGACTACAGTGAAGGTCGTTCTCCAAAGCATTTAGACTTGGTCTTCTCTATCTAAGGAGCATAGGTGCCTTCAACTCTCTGATCATAGTTGTTACCTTCGGAGCACGGCTCTCATCGGATCGTATGAAGTACACAGGTAACTAGTGTTGGCATGATTACTCCGTTAGATCAGTGGGATAAAGCTGACTAAGTAGCACCGGTTCGAGTACATGCTGCACCCTATTTGTCATATATATATATATATATATATACATATATACATATATATATATATATATATATATATATATACGAATAGACATAGAGCCATCGGAAACCATGGAACTCAAAACAAGGTGCAGAAATAGTAAAAGAAAACACAACACATCGAAGTCCATGGCTTCGTCAGAGGACGAGATACTACCCGGTTTCCCAAGCCTAATTAGGATGTTGACTTAGGGGACACCACTCCGAGCCTTTGGCTGAATAGCCTGTCCGCAAGGCAGCGGAGCGAATTCAGGGAAGGGCGCCCAATGGGAGCCGGTGACTGATTGCTCAGTTCATACGCCTTTCGTTTATTCCTTTGTCAAACAGGGACCCAATGCTCCCCAGAATTACAGCATAAAGTTGCTGGAAGACAATGCTTCGCCAGGATGAAGCAAGGGGCAGTGACTTTATTTAGTGGCGAGTCACGTCCGCCACGTTACAGTGTTGTTAAATGGACATATGTGGCTTTTTATAGGGAGAACGCTTGCCAGACGAATATTCACCACGTCCTGGAACACTGCTGCCGAACCATTTGCTGGAACGGGAAAATCTCGAACCACCCAGATGGCACCACGTGGAGGTTGTTCGGACCACTGAAAGTAGATCTAGAAGTTTTTTTTGCTCCATCGAAATATTATCGGGCACACTCACAGAATAACGTCTTTTACTGCCGCACCTTTTCAACATTTTACAGTTATGCAACACTCCATGCAAGTGCGATGGGTTCCCTAACTCTTTAAGAATTTCTTGAATTCCGGCACAAGTTTTACCTGGACCACTGTCTCGGGTAAAGTTTTCCGACCTTTCACTACCTGACACTCGAAGCATAGAAGGTGAGCTGTATGCTTCAGAGCCAGTACTGTAAGCTTGTACCCGTGCCTGCGTGTGCTGCTTGGTGCGCGCATACGCAGCAGTTACTTTAGCTTGGGGTAGTAGCCTAAATTTAACATTCGGTGCGTCATTATGATGTCAAGTTAAGATCGACGATACGAGAGAATGTACAGCCAGAGTCACTTGCACCCGTCTTCGTACGACATACCCCGTAAACTACTGATGGGTCTGGTAGCTACATGCTGAGCACGTTCCAGATTTCGCACATCTCCACGGGTGCTCGGACAACAGGCAGATGAGCCATATTCGAGTATTGATCTTAAGGTGGAACAGAACGGGCGGGTGGCAATCTCTTCATACCAAATTTAGATACTGCGTTTCATCTCCCAAAGCGTGTGTGATGATAGGCTAGTCGTTTGGTCGAAGGTGACTGATGCGCCGTAATCAGACTGGAGGCTAATCACTCTCCACCAAAATGGGCTGACCACGATTGTGCAATCCGGGGATACGAAGTAGAACCGGCTCGACCTAGTGTGAGCAACACACAGTCTGGTCACGGACGAAAGCATCATCATCATCATTATACACGTTAGCTGCAGGTGGAGGACACCTCAGCTGTGGTGCATCAATAAAAGGAAAAGAAAAAGGCATGAAAGAGGAGACGACGGCTGAGTCACCAGTAACGGATGAACATCGTTCCGGATAGCTAACAGCCGGCTGTTGTGCAAAAAAAGGGTGTTATGCCTAATAAATGAGATCGTGGTTGGAAGGAGAAGCCAAGTGTGAGGTTCGGACGAAAACAAAGCGGATTGATTCGAACGGCCACTGTGATTGAAGCGTGTCCTTCAACCAGCCCATACCAACTTCACGAAAAGTGACGCCAGCCGGTCCAGGAAGCAAACGGTGGGGATGCGTAGCGAGTGAAGAGTAGTCCAATCATGTACCGCCCACGTGAGTCGACCATAATCCCGCGGGGCAGACGGGCATGGGAGACTTAACGCTACCGCGTATGAGTCAACTTGGACGTGGCCATGGACAGATCGGATGGGCATCGCGCACTGGCCAATGAATACAGACAGATGGTAAAGGACGCGAAACTGAAATCAGCCAGTGAGAAACTTGGGCAACCGAATAATGCCTCTAATATTTGTACGCTTTATTAGCAACAGATTTAGATCGCTGCTCAGACTTTGTTCTGACTGTTAGAGAGCTACACGTCATGACGACAGGGGAGAAGAATCCGACGCGCCAGACCCCGCTTACTTTCGGTGGACAGTCGGCAAATCCATCGCGGATTGCTGTGCAGATGACGGAAAGCACGGTACCAGACGACT